CATGTGTGACTGAGTCAGGGTAATGGTGCGCTGTGCTCTATCCAGGGTGATCTGCAAGCCAAGGTAGCTGCGTAGTTCACCCAGGTCTGTGCACGTGTGTCTCCTCTGCAGCTCGGACTTCACGTGGGCGAGTCCAGCAGTGTCAGCAGTGGCAAAGACCAAGTCGTCGACGTACACGAGGATGTAGAACGGCGGCAAAGAGGTGTCGGTGCGTAGAAATAGCGACGGGTCGGCAGTAGAAGGAGCAAACCCAAGAGCCGCAAGTGTAGTCCTCAGTGTGTCGTGCCACTCACGGGGCGCCTGGCGGAGACCGTAGACTGGCCGCCGGAGGCTCCACTGGGTACCAGGAGAAAACGACCCAGTGAAGCCAGGTGGGCGGCGCAGCCAGATCTCCTCGTGCAGGCTGCCCTGCAGGAAAGCAGTGCTGAAGTCAAGAGAGTGAAGCTCGTAGTCGCGCTGAGCGGCTATGTGCAGCAGCACCCAAAGAGTGGTCATCTTCGGGGTGGGAGAGAAGATCTGAAAGTAGTCAACTCCCTGCCGCTGACTGAATCCTCAAGCCACTTAACGCGCCTTGAAGACAGGCGGAGAGCCAGGCGGCCGCTTCACCCTGAAGATCCACATCCCATTGACGATGTTCGCCCCAGGTGGGGGAACCTCGTCGACGTAGGTGCCTGTGGACTTCCAAGAAGCCATCTCTGCGTCCATGGCTGACTGCCACTGAGAGGAGTAGGGACCCTCGATCGCCTCAGCGTACGATCGAGGAGTCGGGATGTCTGGTGCATCCGGGTCTCCCTCAGGGGCAATCAGCATGGACACGAGATGGGGCAAAGCAGCTGCAAAGCACTGGAACTCCTCCTGCCTGTCCTCAAGGACGTCCGTGCTAAGAGCACACTCACCCCCGACGGACGGAGGACAGACAGACTCAGACTCAGCAACAAGACTGGCAGCGTAGTCTAAACGACAGCGAGCAGCGAAGTCGACAAGCTCAGCAACTAAAGCAGACACAACAGTGGACTCAAAGGTAGGGTCAGTGACAACAGTAGCAAGAAGGCGCGTGACCGAAGGACTAGCAGCACCGAAGGGAGTCAGACTCCGAGTCAGCAAGAGAAGGAAGAGAGGACTCTGGAGGAGACGGCAAAGGGACACGCAGAGGAGCAGTGGACGGACGCAGTGCCATCTGGTGTGTGCCGGGGACCACAGGAGGACGCGGACGCGCAGCACGACGACTAGTGCGAGCAGCACGAACAGGCGACGCAGCACGAGACGCAGGCTCACGATGCTCAGCAAGACCTCCAGTAGGAACAATGTAGGGAGAAGGAGCAGATAGCGGGGAGGCAGGCTGTAACAGGGACTGCGACTGGACAGGCTGTGGACACTCTAAGGGAGGAGCAGGACCAGGAGAGGGCGGGAGACCAAGAACCTGCTCCAGGAGCGGAACGAAGTACGGCCTCGGCCGCTCAGCGCCTCCAGAACCAGCACGGACGGCACCGGTACCCCCAGCGCCAGCAGAACCTCCAGCTCCAACAGCGCCAACCCCAGTACCCTCAGAAGCACCAGCGCCAGCAGCACCGCCAGCGCCAACACCCCCAGCAGCTCCAGCTCCAGCAGCACCAACTCCAGTAGGACCGTCAGCACCAGCTGCCTCAGCAGCACGCCCAGACGCTCCAGCACCAGTAGAAACACCACTGCCAACACCCCCAGCAGCTCCACCTCCAGCAGCACCAGCACCGACAGCAGCTCCAGCAGCACCTCCGGACTCAGCAGCACGTCTCCAGCGGCGGGCAAACCACTCGCGCAGCTCCTGTGGAGAGAGCGGCTCCCGCCTCGACGAAGCACCACCGGCGGCCACACGAGCAGACCCAGCACCCCTAGGCTCTGCACCCCTAGGCTCAGCACCCACAGACTCAGCACCCCCAGTCTCAGCACCCCCAGACTCAGCACCCCCAGACCCGGCACACGCAGACCCGGCACCCGCATGCTCAGCACCTCTAGCAGCACTAGAGTCAACAGCTACCTCGATAGGCTCGACTGCGTCTACCTGGGACACACCTGAAGGGGCAAGACCTCTGAGGAGGGAGGGGGGTCTACCTGGGTAGCACCTGGCGCAAGGAAAAGCGGCGGCCGGGGGAGGGGCGCAGTGCGGTAGGGGAAGAGATGGTAGTAAGGCACCGACTCGTCAAAGGTGACGTCCTGGGAGGACAGAACACGGCGCGTGGTGGGGTGGTAAAACCGCCAGCTAGGCGCGTCGGGGGGGAAGCTAAGGAAGACGTAAGGAACAGCACGGGGGGACAGCTTGTCCGCAGACAAGTCGCGGACAAACGCCCGAGATCCCCAGACTCGAAACGCAAACGCGTCGCCTAGCCTTCCCTGTCCACCGCAGGGCGGGGGGGGTCTCTGGCAAGGAGACCCGGGGCTGAAGGTTGAGCTGATGCGCGGCGTACTGAACCGCAAACGGCCACAGAAAAATGGGGGGCAGCCGCATGCATCATGGACGTACGAGCGACGTCCATGACCATGCCAATGCGGCGCTCAGCAATCCCATTTTTCTGTGGAGAGGCCGGAAGCGTGAAGATCTGGCGGATGCCCTGTGCACGACAGAAGGCTCCCAGACGGGCAAAGGAAAACTCCCCGCCTCTGTCGGAGTGCAGACGCAGAACAGGAAAGTCCGAGCCGAAACTCTCTCTGAGCTGGAGACGAGCTGCTCGGATCCTAGTCGATCAACACCTCAGTGACGTCCCCCTTGCTGCGCAAGGGGAAGACTGTGGTGTAACGCGAGTAGTCGTCAACCACCAGCAGAAAGTACCGCTCTCGCTCGTGCCCACTGACGCGGGCTGGGCCCCACACGTCCATGTGGAGAGTCTGCAGTGGAGCCTCTGTCGGAGGAAACTCGGAGGAGTGAGGGGCGGCGCACTGTCGCCCCTCGACGCAGGGGACGCAGGTAGGGATGAGCAAATGGCGAACTCGAACATGTTTGGGTTCGAGTTCGCTCGAACATCAACTTTTCCCGAACCGAACACAGTTCGGTTCGGCGAACAACTTAGGGTTCAGGAGCTGTTCGCCGTTCGCCCTTGGGGGCGAACATTTGGTATGTGTGGGCGAACTCGAACATGTTCGAACCGAACATGTTCGAGTTTGCCCGTGGTCACTTTCATTATAGTCACAATAGAGAAACACGGAATCTGGAGGGTTGGGAAGATAGATAGGGGGGTGGAAGGTGTATATATAATCATGCAACGCACACTAGCATACGACACCATCATGTAGTGCCTATATAAAAGTCACTGCCAAATTACATCCTACGCCTGCACACCACTGCTACTACCAACAACAGCATGCTCCGCGTCAGAGGTGTCGCCAGCACCCACCCCCACCTGCTCCTCCTCCCCCTCCTCCTCCTCCCACTCGTCGTCCTCCTCCTCCCCCTCGCCTTCAATGGCGAACTCTGGTGGTGCCTCGCCTTTTGCACGGCGGCCCCCGCCTATCCTCTGTCCAGGGTGTGAGGTGTACCATGATCTGAGAATCATGGAAGCTCGTGTCCTCTGAGAGGCTAGGCGGTGCCGCTTCCAGGATATGAGGTTGCGGTCGAGGGAGAACACGCGCTCGCTCGACGCGGACATGGCAGGGATGGCAAGATAATCCCGGGCCATGCGCCTTAGCGTCTGCATGTTGGTGGCGCTGCGCCAATACTCCAACGCTGACACGTCGCACCGCACCCTCTCTGATAAGTACCTGCCAACCTCGTCATCCTGCACCATCCCACCCCTCCCCGCCTCCTGGCTCGCCGACAGACGCGCCGCAAGTCGTCGGCGACTAGGGAGAAACTCGGCGTCTTCGTCGTCATCCGCCGCGTCTCCCTCCTCCTCCTCCGTCACTGGGGCAAGTGGGGTCGGCAGAGGGGCAATCGCTGCAGCCCGGGCCTGGTACTCGGCCACGCGTTCGCGAACCAGCTGGATCACCTCGCCTGACGGGGGACGAGGCCTCGCCCTCCGCTCTGTATCGGGATGCAGCGTCTCCCAGTGCGCGTCGTCAAACCACGCCGCCTTCATGGAAGGGTCCAGGAAGGTGGCGATCCACAACTCGTTGCTTGACATCAATTCATACTTCTTCAAGAGACCCAGCGCCGCCTCAATCATCGGCTTCAGCATAGCCGATGGCCCCTTGGCAAGGCGCGACTCCATAGCGTCGATCAGGCCATTGTAGTACGGCAGGACCATCGACACTGTAGGGTACGCCGCTCCCTCTGCGGCCTTGGAGACTTTGGCGAATGGGCTGAGGAAGGTCTTGACAGAATGCAGAGTCTCCCAGTGTGCGTCCGTCAGGCGCAAGGTGTCCATCTTCGCCTTGTCAGCCTTCGACACGCCCTGTCGGGTAGAACGTATGGGTGGGCGGGTGATAGGATGGAAAGTGGGGTGGTTGAGGTTGTTGGAGGTCCGAAAAGTTTAGTCAAGCATGGCCAACAGTGGTGCAAGTCCCAGAAGAAAACACCCCGACCGACATACCAACACATAAAACAGCATACACAACACCTGGCACACACACACACCTGTGTCTGGGCAAAGAAGACAGAGATGGGTTCCTGCAGAACCCCGGCTCGCTCGACCATGTCGTGGGTCGACCCCCAGCGTGTAGGGACTGTCCTGCACCAGCTTCAATGCTGGCTTCGGTTTGGCGGGGTTGCCCTACGCGTTCAAACTCCACTGAAGGCCCAAGAACTTCCCCGAGCGCTGTGGCGAGTAGCCTATCCACGACGCCATCTCTCTCAGAATCTTCAGCAACTTGCGGATGGCGGTCACAGCGAGTGCTGCCTTCACTGCAAGGTTGATCACGTGTGCCAGGCATCTGCGCACATCACAAAACATTCATGGCGGAGAGAAAGGGAAGTGTGAGTACACATTGGCATAGATCCGAGATACACTACCACTCTCAAGCCGCATAGGCCCACCCGCCTGTACTAGAACCACAACATGTTCACATCACAGGAACGACGCACCCAGACTCCCTCATCGCACATCCCACGCACACTCCCTTTCGTACCAGAAGTGCATGCGCGAGTTGAAGAAGCACTGGCCACCACCCTCCTCCGACATCCATCTGAAAGCGGCAGTGTTGCTGGAGGCGTTGTCCGAGGTGAACCCAAGACAACGCGTCTCCAACCCCCACTGCACCACCGTCACCTCAACCACCCTCGCCATCTGCTTGCCCGTGTGACGCCCGTGAATCTCGCGGAATTCAAACACCATTGTGCGCAGCTGGTAATTCTCGTCGATCCAGTGACCCGTTACCACTAGCCACGCCCTGTTGTTGGGCGACGTCCACATGTCGATGGTGAACGACACCCTGCACCCCAGCTCCCCCTCCTTCGCCAGCATCTCCGCGATGGCTGACTGAAGAGCGGCAGCCGCATAGACCACTGTGTCGCGGGAAACCGTCCAGCGCGAGGGGATGAAGTTTTTCTGCGCGCAGTTGCGGTTTAACAGGATGAGTAGCTCACGAAACTGGAGAGGGGAAGAGACAAGGGGGGAGAGGGGAGTACACGTCAGGGGGATGGGATGAAAATAATATAGCACTGCATTGGGCCACACGCAAACAGTCAAAACACAAAGGGACAGACACGTCCACTAACCACATACTTGCCCAATCATGCATGGGATGGGATGGGGCACTTACACCCTCGGCCTCGACGATGCGGAAGGGGAGGTCGCAGGTGACCACCAGCTTCGTGATCGCCTGCCGTAGCTGCACCGAGGTCAGTTTGATTGTCATCCACCGCTCGATCCCTCCTGACCCATCACCTCCACCAGTCGCCATCGCTTTCCCCTTGGCGAGCTGCGGCCAAGTCTTGGCATGTGGCCACTGATAGACGTAGCCATCCGGCACTCCCTTGTAGCCCCCTCGGGGAAACGTCTCCCCTGGCAAGTGAACGGACGGGGTGTGGTAACGGTGATGCCACACATGCATGTGCGCAGTGTGGAAGCTCGCAAAGTGCCGCTCGCCCGGGGTTGTTGTGGATTGCTTCCACGAAATCCTGTCTGTGCAAATCTTGCACTGACGCTTATCGTCTGCCCCTAACGGTCCGAACATCATAACTTGCCACCCCGGCTTCCTATTACCCTTGCCAGTCCCCTTACTACTCTCGGACCCTCCGTCCTTGTCTAGGAACTCGGGAGCGATCACACCCTCGCCCAAGGGCTCCCCAGTGAACGTGCAGGGATACGCCCGCTCTCTCAACTTGTTCGCTTTCTTCCTCTGCCTCGGCTCCCTAATGGTCATGGCCTTTCCCCCCCCCACCTTAACCCCCACGCTCCCTCCCCCTTCACGCACATGCTGTGATCCCGCCTCTGTCGCCGCCCTTCCACCACCCTCTCCCACCTCCTCCTCCCGGCCCTCTGGCTCCAACCCATCCATCTCGTGGTCTTCATCATCAACGTTAGCGTTGGATGGTGCCGCACGTTCCTAATGCCCGATCCGAATCCTACGGCGAAGGATACGCCCTACTTGAGCCCTTTGCGGAGATGCTCGCTGAACCTTAATAGTAACCCTAAACTCCCTACACTACGTTAAACCCTATGCATAGATCTATCTATGTAATGTTCGTTTACACTCCAAGTATTAACGTGCACTTGCTTGCACCTAGAACAAGGAGGCTAGGGCGCCTGTGTGAGGGAGCGCTAAAGCCTAAACAACTTCTGAGTTTGAGCTCACGAAATGAGCTCAAACAAAAATTGGCCGCGACCTAAATCTGGTCGCGGCCAATTTTGACGCGAACACTTTTGGTGTTCGCGTCGAATCCCAGCCGAACACGAACATGTTCGTGTTCGGCTTGGAGAGGCGAAATCCAAAGCCGAACGTCGAACATGTTCGGCCGAACACCGAACATGTTCGGCCCGAACAATTTAGCCAAAAAAAAAAAGCCTGTTCGGTTCGCCTCGAACATGTTCGAGGCGAACCGAACAAGCGTTCGGGATCTTGCTCATCCCTAGACGCAGGTAGGGCCAGGCCCCGGAGGAAGGGGAGGGAGAGACCGAGGGAGACCAAAGACAAGGACACGGGAGGCCATGCCTCGGAGACGAGGCAAGGAGGGGTGACCAAGGCGGTGGTGCCAAAGGAGAGTCTGGTGGGACAGCAGACGACATGAGCAGGGGGCAGACTCAGGACCAGACCTGGACGCCGCAGCAAACCTCGACTCGACGCAGCTATCTGGCCAGACTCAGGACCAGGAGGAGACTCAGTAGTAAGGGTGTACAGGCTCGACCCTGGCCGACGGGTGAACGTGGCCAAGTGTCAGCCTGTCCAAGCACACATGCAGTGGGTCACTCGCTGACTCGCAGGAGTGAACTGGTCAACCCCTCGATCCTGTAGGTCCGCTCCACTCACCAAGTTCGTAGAGAACGAGGGGAGGTACAGACCACACAGGGTGCCAGAGGGGGCTGCAGGGCACGGAAGGACAGTGGAGAAGCTAGCAAGGACAGGACCCCCAGAGGGGTCTGCCAAGGAGACCACGTGTGGCCCACTGTGAGCGAACAGTGGCGTCAGCATCAGCAGCAGGGGCAGGGGAGGCACCAAAAGTGAGGTCAAACAGGGAGAGGCCGTCTGCCCTATCGCACTGCAGGAAAAGCTGCAGATCATCTACCCAGACCTCAAAGTCCACTGCCCGACCCTCAGCGTCAAAGGTGAGAATGCTAGGGGAAGCCATAACAGCAGTAGGTGGCAGAGACTGTGCTCTTACTAGGTAGGTGGAGCGATCGGGCTACTCGGCGGCTCGGCTGTCGGGCGGCTCGGCTGCAGGGCGGCTCGGCTGCAGGGCGGCTCGACTGCTGGGCGGCTCGGCTGCAGGGCGGCTCTGCTGCTGGGCGGCTCGGCTACTGGGCGGCTCGGGTGCAGGACGGCTCGGCTGCTGGGCGGCTCGGCTGCCGGCCGGCTCGGTTGCTGGGCGGCTCGGGCGGCTCAGCTGGCCGGCGGTTCGGCTGCTCGGCGCTGCGGGCGCTGGGAGGTGGGGTCGCTGGCGGTGGCGAGGTCACAGGTGGGGGCGGGCCGCAAGGGTGGGCGGGGCCGCGTTGGCGACGGGGCCGAAGTGGGCGACGGGGCCGCAGCGGGGCCTAAGAGGGGCCGACGGGGCCGAAGTGGGCGACGGGGCCGAAGTGGGCGACGGGGCCGAAGTGGGGCCGTAGCGGGGCCAACGGGGCCGAAAGGGCCGTAGCGGGGCCGTAGTGGGGCCGCAGCGGGGCCGAAGTGGGGCCGACGGGGCCTTAGCGGGGCCGTAGCGGGGCCAACGGGGCCGTAGCGGGGCTGTAGCGGGGCCGCAACGGGGCCTAAGTGGGGCCGACGGGGCCTAAGCGGGGCCGCAACGGGGCCGACGGGGCCTAAGTGGGGCCGACGGGGCCTAAGTGGGGCCGACGGGGCCGTAGTGGGGCCGACGGGGCCAAAGCGGGGCCGACGGGGCCGTAGTGGGGCCGACGGGGCCTAAGCGGGGCCGACGGGGCCGTAGCGGGGCTTAAGCGGGGCTGTAGCAGGGCCGACGGGACCTAAGCGGGGCCGATGGGGCCGTAGTGGGACCGTAGCGGGGCCGTAGCGAGGCCTAAGCGGGGCCGACGGGGCCGTAGCGGGGCCGACGGGGCCGTAGCGGGGCTGACGGGGCCGTAGCGAGGCCGTAGTGGGGCCTAAGCGGGGCCGACGGGGCCGTAGCGGGGCCGAAGCGGGGCCGTAACGGGGCCGACGGGGCTGTAGCGGGGCCGAAGTGGGCGGCTCGAGGAGCAGTAAGGGCGGCCAAAAGGGGCCACTAAGGCGACTCGGGACGCTCTTCGGGTTAGGAGCCAAGCGCGCTCCGGGCAGGGAAGGGAAAAAAAATACGTGGTGGGCCCTAGGCAGAATTCCCACTTAGGAACCTGCTCGATACCATGACGAGAAGTGAGGATGGATGAACTATGAAAGAGTTGGGTACAAGTACTAACCCTAATTGGGTTGTACCCCATATGGGCTACCCCACTACAGCCTACACAAAAGTATAAGCTATAATGTTTTGACAATAAGCCGTCGTACTCTCACAGCGGAGAAACTTGACTTCTTCCGCCGACCGGGACCGAGGTCCTTCAAAAGCAGCAACTGGGGACATCGGTCTCGTGGGACGAACAAGGGCGCTACGATACGTACCGTCGTTGCGAATGCTGATGCAGCACCGTTCAAAGGGCGCTGCTTCGTGTGCAATAGGCCGGGACACTGTAAGAGCGAATGCTTGGAAAACGCTAAGGGAAAGGGGGAAGCTGAGCAGCATAACAGACCAAGCAGCAGAGAAACGCTGGGAGTCATTAGCTGACGGGCCCTCTACTGACAGGTCACGCTGCTCGCCCGACCCAACCGACCCTCACCGAGTGATTGTGCCGGTTCACGCAATCGACCACACCCGGCCAAATATGGAGGGTACTACGGTAGACAGCCCCATACTGCTTAGTGGGAAAATCGGGACAGACTTAGTTAAAATCTTCGTAGACGGGGGAGCCAGCCATAGCCTTATCAACACTGCCACAACACGGAAACTACAACTGTCACTGGACAGATGCTTACCTGAAATCGATGCAAGACTGGTCGACGGCACGCTGCTGGCGATACGGGAACGTGTAGACCGGGTTCGGATTCGATGCTGGGGTAACTTCACGTTTAGCCAAGAAATGCTCGCAACGACCCTCGACAGATCCGACATTTTAATCGGTCGTGATTGGCTGCGACGACATAATCCTTGAATCGACTGGACGACGGGTGAGTGCATTGTGCGAGTGCACGGTAACAACATCGCCTTACCTCGCTAGGGCTCGCCTGAGTCTTTGTCGGTGCGTGTCAACGCAATCACGATGAAACGCGCCGTAGCGGGAGGAGCTGACGTGTACGCGATTGACATTCGGGAAGCCGAGGCAGCAGACAAAGGGGGGGATTTACAGAAACTGCTAACCGACGTACCGGATGACCTGGCAGCACTCCTAAAGCAGTACAGTGAAGTATTTCCGGACGATCTGCCGGCGGGACTGCCACCTCAGCGACCGCACGACCACAGGATAGAACTAGAACCGGGGGCACAACCGTGAGTACAACGACAGTTGCGACTGACCCAACCTGAATTGAACGAAGTGAGGAAGCAACTGAATTACCTGCTCAAAAAGGAGTTTATTCGTTCGAGTTCGTCACCTTTCGCAGCACCGATAATGTTCACTACGAAGAAGGACGAGGGTTTTTGCATGTGCATAGACTACAGAGCACTAAACAAAATTAGCATTAAGTCCCGTTACCCCATCCCGCGAGCGGACGAACTGATCGACCAACTGCGTACTGCGTACAGCCCGGGTTTTTTTCGAAAATTGACCTTCGAGGAGGTTACCACCAGATCCGCGTCGACCCACCCGACAGCCCCAAGACAGCCTTCCGAACACGCTATGGATCCTTCGAATATACAGTCATGCATTTCGGATTGACCAACACCCGCGCCAGTTTTCAAATGACCATGAACGAAGCTCTCCGCCCATTTTTAGATAAGTGCGTCATCGTGTACCTTAATGACATACTGATTTACAGCCTCGACAGATCCCAGCACTTACAGGACATCGAAGCCGTTTTTAAAATACTGAGTGAGAACCGCCTACTGACCAAAGCCTCTTAGTGTGAGTTTCTACAGGACCGACTGGAGTTTTTAGGACACATTATTTCAGCTGATGGAATGGACATAGACCCGAAGAAGATTGCGACGATTCAAGCATGGCACTGCGCCGACCAACTTGACCGAGTTGCAGAGTTTTCTGGGGTTTGTCAACTATGAGCGGTGGTTTGTCCTCGACATGGCGAAGTTGACTGCCTCGTTGACCGACCTGCTGAGGAAGGGGGTTGCGTACACATGGGGGGAGAAAGAGCAAGCTGCCTTCTCGACCCTCAAAAATATTTTGTGCTCGCTGCTCGTGCTTCACATCGCAGATCCGCACCGTCTGTTCGAGCTCGTCACCGACGCAAACAACGTCGTTGTGGGAGCAGTACTGTTGCAGGACTTCGGGAACGGCCTCCAACCAATCGCGTACGAGTCCCGCAAGCTTCACCCGCCCGAACGCAACTACCCGATACTCGACCGCGAGATGCTGGCGATCGTGCACGCGTTCAAGGTGTGGCGATGTTACCTCACGCGAGCAGACGTGACAGTACGGACAGACCACTGATCACTACACTATCTTCACGCCCAACTGAACCTCAACCCATGACAGATCCGCTGGTTGGACTATCTCGAGTCCAACTTCCACTACACGGCCACGTACAAAAAAGGTGCATCCAATATCGCCGACGCACTCACACGCCCCACCGCCCAACTCCACGCCATCCTACTCGCCCAAACCAACCCACTTCTAACAGGCCTATTCACCCATGGATACAGGACTGACCCATTTTTCACGACTGGGAATTCACAGCAACTGGTAGAAGCAAAAGGAGTCTATTTCGTAAAAACAGGCACCAACCGTATCCGGGTGTTACCGAGGGAACTGTTACTGCAGGAGGCACACGACGGGATTACCTCGAGACATTTTGGGGCTGCATAAATGGGACAGTAACTGCAGCGGTACTACTACTGGCCAGAGCTGTTGACTGACGTACAGCACCACATGGGCTCATGTTTGGGGGCAACGACGCGGTTATGGTGGTCGTGGACAGGTCGACGAAAATGGCACACTTCGCTGCGTGCAAGAAATCGATCTCAGCCAAAGAACCCGCTCGCCTGTTCATCGCAGCCGTCGTTCGACTGCACGGGATACCAGCCGCAATAATCAACGACCGCGACACGAAGTTTACAAGCAACTTCTGGAAGAACCTCTGGGAGCAGCTCGGGACCAGGCTACAGTTCAGCTCGTCGTACCATCCCGGGACCGACGGTTAAGCGGAGCGGACGAATCAGACGATGGAGCAGTTGATTCGTGCCACGTGCGATGACCCGACAACTTGGGAGCAGTAGTTGCCGCTGATTGAGTTCGCGTACATCAACGCCACGTCAGCGACGACGCAGCAGTCCCCGTTCTACCTGAACTACGGGCATAACCCTACAGTGCCCATGGCGCCGAGTTCGGACAACCCAACGCCACGTGCACAACAATTTGCCGAAATTCTGCAAGCTACCCGCACCAGAGCCGCTGAAGCAATTAAAAAAGCAAATGCCATCGCTAAACGCAACTCTGACCGCCACCGCCGCTTAGTCACATACCAGTCAGGTGATTACGTACTGCTCGACACACATAACTTAAGACTGCCCATCGTACCCGTCGTACTGCCCGCATTACTGTGGACAATTCCAGATGAGCCACATGATTACCCAAGTGACAGCACACTTACTGTTGTCGACAAACTGGTACATTAGCCCTTCATTCAACGTCACCCTGCTTTGTCAGAATGAGAACCGAGAATGAGGAGTGACTAGTAGGAACAACAGTACAAATATGTCAAACCCTAATATGGTGTACCCCTTATGGTGTGACCCACTACAGCCTAGAACCACACAAACATATAATGTTTGACACACCCCCATAGGCAAAGTGGGGGAGACCTAGGGGTCACAAGACCAGTCAAGGCAAAACAAGGCAAACAAGCTCAGGGTGGATCTCGAGGATTCCACACAAATTCCGAGCACAAGCAAGCGGTCACAAGACCAGTTCACATGCAGTTTTATAATAGAGCAAGAGG